CAAGCCAGACCAACATCCAACTCCTCCGAAAAAAAAAAGACATTCAAACAAAAACACCTGATCTAGATAGGCCAGTTTGAAATTAAAATGTGCCAGACCATCAGAAGAAAAAACCATTATTACTAAATTGATGAGTGTATCACGCCAGCCAAAAGCCCTTACTGTTGAAAAATGTAAGAAATTTCTAAAGTAAGATATATAATTTTTCAATGTTTTATTTCTATTAACGACATAACAATCCCAAGTAGGGTGAGAAATACCCTCTAACAATAAAATAGCCTGTCAACACTGTGGTTGTGAATTTGAACCCCACTCATGGCAATGAGCATTCAATTCTTTTCTTAATTGACTAGCATTGCCAGTTTTCCAGCCAAAGATGGGTGCTTCTCTCCAGGTTCTCTGGCTTCCTCCACCAATAAAAAATGACTGCCATGATATAGCCAAGAGGGCTAAGTGTAGTTTTAAACACAACCAATCAATCTATCAGTCTTATATAATCTAAAACCATTTCTAAATATTTTCTTGGTTTTGTTCATATTATCTCCATTATAAGGTTGTGCTTAATTTCAATAGGTAATTACAGATCAATTTTGCATTTTGTTATTGAATTACATTCTTGACATTTGAAAATTTTATGAAAATGATTGCTGTTTACACCTATTATAATTATGCAATGTAAATGTTAAGAATTATATCACATTTGCGTTTCATTCTGGTTAACCCATTTTTACTGAGGGGACTTTGGTGGGGTGAATGATGATGATGATGGATGGCTGTTTAAGGTCCAGAGGCAAATTAAATGCATATTCAGGTTGAGAACACGTTAATGTTATATGAATATTCACCCTGCTTTGTACTAGACCAGCACGCTAAGCTGGATTTTTAAATTTCTAGTTCACAAGGTAACAGTTCTCAGGAAGACATGTCACCCTTCCTAGACACAATATTCTGACTCAGAGCAGACCAGTCTTTGCTGTTACTCCTTAATGCTGCATACTTAGCAGAGAAGCAGCAAATACCAATTTTAAAGTCTTTGGTTTGATCTGGCCGGTATTTAAACACATTGCTTCCTGCACTTGAGGGGAATACAAGAGTACCGAGGCAATTTGGTGGGGAGGAAGTGGGGATACTGTGACAGTTGTTGGATTTTATGGTTATTTGAAAACGTGACATTTTCTGAAAGCTTGAAACTTGTACAATTCAGCTTTAAAATTTTTTAATTTCATTTACAATTTACAGATGGGTGGCAGTTTTGGTGCTTTAGGTTAAACTACTGTTTAAAAGTAAAAATACAATATTTGATTACCTGTTTGACATTGTAATTGATTTGTTACATACAATTATTACTTTTGAATTTGAAACAAGTTTAAAGAGACAGTGTACAGACAAACAAAACTCAACTTCACTTATTGAAAAACTTTTTCACAAAAGTAACATGAACCGGTTGTCACATTTGGTCTAAAATAGATTTCTTGGTCTACTTTTACTGTAGTGTTATTATCTCTTCATGCTGAGTATAAAGCTATTCAAGACAATTATCAGTTAAGTCTACGTTGTTGGGATACTCAGATGAGACTTATTCCTGTAATCATAATGGTATTTAAATGTAGAAAGTCACTCAGTATGTTATAAATTATAGTTTCTTAAGGATAATATAAGGTGTTAGATGGAATTTAGTACTATCATAGTGTAAACACCTCCTCTTGTTAAATCAACACTTTAAATGGGTAGATAACAATTTCAAATTTTAATGGAAATATTGTTTCAATAGTGAAAATATTCAGATTCGAAATTTTGTCATCAAGTCCAATAGTTTGGACTTTGGAGGCCATATTCATGTAAATCATTGGGAATACAACCCAATTATCCTTGAATATAACAGCCAAAGTTATCATTGGAGGCCATAATCATGTTAATCTTTGGGAGTACAACCCAATTATCCTTGAATATAACAGCCAAAATTATCATGTGACAACTTACATGATTTGAGATTTACTAAATTACCAAGAACTCATTTTAGCTGGAGTGTAATTTTTTAATCTAATTTTCATCTACCTTCTTTCCAAACTTGAAATGTGGAAATTAGAAAATCAAATGCAATTCTATCCAAGTTGCCTACCAATGCTATGAATTTCATCCAAAATCTGATACCTTCAATTTACAAGTAATTACTCCAAGAATCCTTTATACAGATTGCAGCTTCAGTATTTTGAAAGAGGGGATCATTATTTTATATCTGTCAAAGTGAAATATATATTTGTAATTTTCACAATGCATTAACTATATTTGCTTCTTATAAGGGAGGAACTGCCCCTGGCCTTACCTCTTAATCTGGCATTGATAACCCTTGCTCCATCTGTCCTTCATCTTTAATTTCTGTGTTCACTTTTTAGTTTAATTCTCAAATTTTTCAGAATTTAATGCTATTAGTGACCTCAAATTTGTTAATCTTACAAGGAAGCAAGAAATGTTTATCTGTAGTTTACTAGTGGCTTTTGTAGTTCTTAGACATATAAAAAAGTCAGCAGGAATAAGGCAGGTCTAGTCTACTCTGAAAGTATTATGTTGATTAGTATATCTGTACTGAATGCTGACATATATAGAATAACCATACATTGTCTCGAAATACACATTTTATTTGTACAAGGCTTAGAAACAGGTAGAAAGCAAGGCTGTGCTGAGCATTTCTATCCTGCTTTGAACCGAGTACAAATAAAAATTATATTTCGAGACAATGTATGGTTATTCTTTATATACTGCAACTCCTATAACTGTTCCAAATGAAATATTTAGGGTAAAAATCCTTTTTTTATTTGAAGCGGACAACATAAAATTTCCGTGAACCTGTATTGTTTATTGGCGTCATAAATAAAACTCTACGGAAACTCATTGTCAACGTCATAAACAAGGCGATATACGGTAAGTGACTGTATATCACAAATGAATATACGGTCAATGCAATTTGATTACGCAAATAGCACAGCTGCAGTATATATAGGCAATGAAAGTCTAGTCAAGAATACTTTATGTCAATTTAAATGAAAAAAAATATTAGAGAATATCTTAAGGGATTTTTCTTTTGACTGTTCTTCCATTTAAAAAATTTCAAATTATTGATTTAGTTTTTTATTTGATCTTATTACCTCTTAAATAATTTTGATAATGGTTAATAAAATGTCAAGGATTACTGTTGTGTATCCATGCAGTAATCTGAGGAAACTGTTATGTTACATGCTTATTGGCTCAGACAATATTTATCTGATCATTAATATTCTATGTAATACAATTTTGTCAATTTATAATATATTTTGCTAATAAAAATTCATTTATAGCATAATGTTATACAAGTACACGGTATAAAATACAAAAGTGAAAAATAGGTGACTTCAATGGGTGCCAATTTTTTTATTAAGTGGGTTTTCCGATGGAAATCCAGGTATTGATTTGGGGATGCATGGCAGGAGGCTCCCATTGTTTCCCTTCAATATCTTATGAACTGTTGAACCAATGCTTTTCAAATTTTAATATGTTATTTCTGGTAACAAAATGGAGATCATTATAGTATAGCTTATCGCCATATTTGAGTATAAAAATGAGACAACACTTGACTGAACAAAGTATGGATTATATGAGTGCCGTGTTATTTTTTAATATTCAAATGCAGCGATTAGTTATACTTTTTATATATCAAATGCAGCAATTAGTAATACTTTTTATATTCAAATGCAGCAATTAGTTATACTTTTTATATTCAAATGCAGCAATTAGTTATACTTTTTATATTCAAATGCAGGTTTTCTTTGTTACCATATTTCTTGATATTATATTATTTTATAGTGTATCCTTTTTATACATGTATCTTGTTGAAATCTGACGAAGTTTCAATTTCAGTATTACTCACAGTAGTGCTGTGTTTACTTATTTTGGACTGTATGTGAATGATCTGCATACTCAAATGGTTTGTCTCAATCATGACCATGTAAGTGTACCCATACGGTCAAAAATATTATTTTTTTTAATATCTAGTCTAAATTGACAGTCTAAATACTTTTGGTCTTGAAAATTTCCACTATCCCTGATTTTTATGCCTTTGCCGTAGCGGAGGGGGCATTCAGTTTTACCATTGTCTGTCTGAACGTCTGTACATACATCCCATGGTTTCCGTTCTCTAACTTTTAGTTTGCCTCAACCAAATGTTATGAAACTTATACACAATGCTTATTACCACAAAATACAGATCAAGTTTGAATTTTGGTGGCATCACTTTAACCATTCTAGAGTTATGCCCCTTTACAAATGGAAAAATTGCTCAATTTTTCCTTTCCGTTCTCTAACTTAAGTTTGCCTGAATCAAATGTTATGAAACTTATACACAATTCTTATTACCACAAAATAAAGATCAAATTTGAATTTTGGTGGTGTCACTTTAACCGTTCTAGAGTTATGCCCCTTTACAAACAGAAAAATTGCTGAATTTTTCGTTTCCGTTCTCTAACTTAAGTTTGCCTCAACCAAATTTTATGAAACTTATACACAAAACTTATTACTTCAAAACTCAGATCAAGTACAAATTTTGGTAGCATCACTTTTACTGTTCTTCAGTTATGTCCCTTTATAACTTAATATGATATGCAAGCGGGGGCATCATCTGTGTCCCATGGACACATTCCTCATTTATTTGTTTTCTCATTTGACTCTTTATAGAATATTATGAGTAGATCAGTGTGTGGTAACACCATTGTTTTAAGCCCCCATCATAGCAGAGGGGGCATTAAGTTGTTTTTTTATAGTCCCAGAAAGCAAAAATTACATTAACTACATGTGTGTGTCCATAGAATGTTCAGGCTAGTCAATGGGTTATAAACTACTGTGAAATTTTTAGATACAGAGACCATTGACACATCAAGGGTTCCAAAATTTCAGTCTCCTCACCAATTATGTCAATGATATTATTTCATGTCTTTTCTTTTTAATGTTATCTTTTTTCCTTTTTTTCTCAGATATTTGAATTGAGAAGAGATATTCCAAATCCAACATACGGAAAATCAACAGAAGAAAATGTTACTATGGAGAGTTAGTTCAGTGGATCTGTTAGGACAAATCATAAACATTGTATGAAATGTAAAATAATAAAAAAAGCTTAAAACACTGAATGTAATACTTCACTGATTAATAAACACTTTAGAGAGGAATTAATGAAGCATAAAATGAAAGCATTGACAAATAATAGGGAAGCATTTTTAAATGCATCTTTTGCAGACCAATTGTCCATGCTTGTTCTTTGTTTTCTCATGGCTGCATAAATAACTTTGAACACTGATAGAACTTTTGAATATATTATTGTAATAAATTTATTGAATGTACGTTTGGTGCTTGCTAAATATGGTCCACTTTGATCAGGTTTATCTTTACCAATTTATTCACAACAACAGTGTAATGTTATGACCAGATCCATATCAGCAATTAGTTTTTGTCTCTTGAAGTAAAACATTGTTTCTCACAAATGTATACTTTAATTCAATCTCAAATTCTTTGCTATCCTTATTCGTTAGTATTTTTGTCAAAAACATGGTACGTTTTCGCAAATTATGTTGGTTTTTGAGGTTTGTGACATTTGAGTATCTTATATGACCCTTGAAAAGACAGAATTTCCCCAAAAAACTATTGGGTTTCTTGAAAATGTCAAGAATTAAACTTACCAGGTAACACAAAATAAATACTCATTTATTTATAATTCATCTCTCCCCTGTTAGGCTAATAAAGGGAGCATTTAGAATTGGATTAAATAAGGAAAATGTCACAATTGTTGTTCAGTACAAACAATAATGTAGACTTCTGCCTACCATAGACTTCTGCCTACCATAGACTTCTGCCTACCCTAGACTTCTGCCTACCCTAGACTTCTGCCTACCGTAGACTTCTGCCTACCGTAGACTTCTGCCTACCGTAGACTTCTGCCTACCGTAGACTTCTGCCTACCGTAGACTTCTGCCTACCGTAGACTTCTGCCTACCGTAGACTTCTGCCTACTGTAGACTTCTGCCTACCACAGACTTCTGCCTACCGTAAACTTCTGTTTATCGTAGACTTCTGCCTACTATAGACTTCTGCCTACCGTAAACTTCTGCCTACCATAGACTTCTGCCTACCGTAAACTTGTGCCTACCATAGACTTCTGCCTACCATAGACTTCTGCCTAGTAGACTTCTGCCTACCATAGACTTCTGCCTACCATAGACTTCTGCCTAGTAGACTTCTGCCTACCATAGACTTCTGCCTACCATAGACTTCTGCCTACCATAGACTTCTGCCTACCGTAGACTTCTGTTTATCGTAGACTTCTGCCTACCGTAGACTTCTGCCTACCATAGACTTCTGCCTACCATAGACTTCTGCCTACTGTAGACTTCTGCCTACCGTAGACTTCTGCCTACCATAGACTTCTGGATTATATTTATGTTATACAAATATTATTGGTTTCTCAATTGAAAAATCTGAAGACAAAAATAAACAACTTTCTTCATGAATGTTTTTATTGTTGGTACATATTGATGAAGTTGTCACTTGTCACCATCCTATTTTATGTAAGTACTGGTGTCAGGTTTGGTCAAATTTTGGGTTGCAAGATCTATTTCTTAGAAACCTATGTTGATATATGTATATGAAAAAATCCAGATGTTGTTCAGCACTGCACTTAGCTGTTGCATACAATTTTGATACTTTACTTCAAATGTTATACAATTTTGATACTTTACTTCAAATGTTAACTCAGTATTTCAATGATTGAGCAACTACCCTCATATCCAATCATTTCATTCTTTTGAAGTTCAGTAACACTTCCTGTTTTCCTTTTACTTAAGAACCTGTTTGTTAATTAATACCAAAAAAAAAATATATTAAAAATCAGATACTGGTTTGATATCTGAAATATATAATTCTAACAAGATATATCTTCAGATTCATGAAGTTGTCACTTGTCACTATCCTATTTCTTAGAAACCTATGTTGATACATGTATATAATGAAAACATCCTTTTAGTTTCCTTCTTTGAAACCTTCATTATATCTGCTGTAGGCTAGTTCATAAATACCAGTGGTTGTCTTTTGTGTACCAGTATATTGAATGAGAAATTGTTCTGGTCTTTTGTGTGTATTTTACTAAGCTGTTTGATTAATGTCCAGTTGCAAATATTTCATGCCTCTATTCAGGACAAGAACAAGTTTATTAATATATCAGTTGGTTAGGATCTTCAAAATAGGTAGAGTGGTATGCAAGGTGAATGTAATCTGGACTGCAATTGAATGCATAGTATGTTTGGTAAGTTGGACACTAAGGCCATTTTCCCCCATATTTGTTCACAGGTGATCAAAAGCAGACTGTAAATGTAACCTACTGAAATTAAAATATTGAAAATTCGAAATGATATCATTCAAAGATTGTTTCACAAAGTTACATATACCCAGAAAATGCAAATGTCATTCAGCACTGCACTTAGCTGTTGCATACAGTTGTGGTACTATATTTCAAATGTCAACTCAGTATTTCAATGAGAGAGCAATTATCCTAATACTGGTTAGATATTTGTAGAATATAATTCAAACAAGATATATGCATCAGTTTGGACATGATGGTTAACTTTGGGTTTCTTGTGATCTTGCATAGAAAGATATGTTTATAGATATCATATAGATTATACAAGTGGTGAGAATAAAATATTGAATCTGAATCTAGACATGTACAGTCTTAAGATTCTTCTACATGCATTATCCTTTTCCTTTTATAGTTGTAGTCTCTAAGTGAATGGTAGTGGTACAAAAAATGTATTATGTTATAGTTCAAAAGCATGCCTTGAATACCTTTCAATATTGATATTGAAGTTCCAGTACCTGGGGAAAGACAGTGTTCCCAAATATACATGACTTCTGTAGCATGTATCATGATAAGGACTATCAGAAACACTTTTAAAATGGTGTATGAAAGAAGTCGAGATTTAAGTTTTTTCTACACATAATTACAAGGAGAGTAATATGTTGTCGATGAGACAGCAACCAAACTTTTTGATTATACTTACAAGTTTTTAACCGGATTTTCGAAGAAAAAATCAGTTATTGATTTGGGTATGTACGGGGGGTGGGGGGCTGCCAAACAGTGTCCGTTTATTTACTTAAAATTGTTTTGATGAAATTTTTTTAAATTTTTATATGTTGTTTTCTGTGACTAAATGAAGGTGAAGTTCAATTTTCACGACTTTAGCTTTTCTCGTTCTTGAATTTTGGACCCTTTTAGAAACCAGAAATTTACTTATTATGTGATTGAGTTATTTCACTTTGAACAGAAATTAATAAGTTTATGTATAGCTGAGATGTATCAATGATTGTATCTGTTCAATTGATTAGTCAGGAGTTGTCAAAAATTGCTTTATAACTATTTTTTTTTTAAGTCTTGTGTGTTTTGAAGGTAGATGTCACAGTTGTTATGTGGTATTTTATTTTTGTTGTGTGTGTTAATGTTAAATTTTTACTTGATCCAGTTTGGGTGTCCAGATTTGCAAATATCATTTTCATTAGATAATAATCTATTTTTATTAAAGGATACATTTCATTACATTACATTGTGAAGATAAAGTTGTTGACATTGATAGATAAGTTGCAGATAAGATATTAGTTTGTGACAAATGAAAGAAAAAATATTTGGAACTATTAATTATATTTGATTATAATTTGAAAACATCATATCTAATTTTAGAGAACAATTTTTTAGTGGTGAAATCATATCTAATTTTAGATTTGCATTACTGGTTCATGGAAACAAGTTTGAGTTATTTCCCTTTGAACAGAAATTGTTTTAATTAATAAGTATTTCATCAAAAATTGAATTTTTGGGGTTCTTTGATAAGCTGATTCTTACAATGTACTTAGATTTTGGATATTGGACCATAATAGATAAATGTCCAATTTCAAATTTTTCAGTCCTTTGTCCACATTTATTTTGTGTCACAAACCTATGCTGTATCAAATATTTAATCACAATCCAAATTCAGAGCTGTTTTAAGCTTAAATGTTGTGTCCATACTTGCTCAACTGTCCAGGGTTCGACCTCTGCAGGAAAATCCGGTTTGTTGTCACTCTGACAGCCTCTTGTTATTTATAAATCTTATAAACTTTCAGGTAAGAGGTATGTCCAATTTCCTTGCCATTTGTTTCACACACAGGCTCAATACTTTGAAGGAAAAAGCAACAATATTACAAAGTTTACATTTTGTAAAAAATTTGCATTGAAGGTCATCTTTTATTGAACCAAAATGAATTACTATCATAATTAACATCTAGAAGACAATAAATATATAGCTTAATTTTTAATTGAATTTTCAGTTTTGCGAAAATTTTTACACATTTTTGTTTATAGGGCCTATATTCAAACATTGCAAAAACCAATTAAAATTTCAATTATAAGCTATCTTAAGCATTTTTTTTTATTTGGTGAGATGTTTGTAAATAAGCCATAATACAGTTCGAACATGAAGTATACACATTAAGCTGATACTGAGGATATAAGTAAATATTATGCTGATAAAGCCTCAATGTATACACATTGTGTGAAACTGAATAAGAATAAAGACTTTCTGAAAATGAAAATGAAATTTGTGTGAAATAGATTCAGGGGAAGTGTGTAATAGTACAACAGTCCTCAAGTAACATTTGTCTTGTTCTATCTAAATAGTTACTACTGCTTTAACACTGTGTCTGATGTCTGACAGAGTTATGCGAGGATTCTTAACATTGACGACATCACTAAAAACCTGGCGTGTTGCTTGCTCTGATTGTAACTTGAACTGTGAACAAAACAAAATAACATTATGCTGAACAGAACCTATAAAGGTTAAACATATTGTTCCATAAAGTTACTTTATATCTGCCGTGCAAGGCATTGGAAAAAAGACATTGAAAGTCTTGTCAATATACCACTATTAAATGCATTTGACAGTACCCTCAACTGAAATGGGATAATCAATTGTCGATCTGGTAAGAAAGACGTTAATTTTACATACATATTTTCTTTGAAATTTTCAAGCATCTAAATTGTATCATAATTAAGCTACGTCGTGTTATATTTCTTAATTAGATTAAGTGCTTTGTTAATCAGATCAATCATTGGTGTTGAGTTGTGACAAACATGTTTAATCAAGAATTGTGACTTGTCTGTTTTTGATTAGTACTCTCCAATCAATTCTTCACATAACTTCGCATAAAATTCCTTCATGATATTTCCGATATAAAATACTTCATTTTTATCAGCACCGAATTATATCAACTTCACAATTACAATTCACCATATGCTTGTCAATTTTCTCCGAGTTTCTGATTCATGCAAGTACAACCTCGAAATGAAATAACTTTAAATTAAATTAACCTTTATAAGTCAAACTAATCGTATAAAAGACATTACATGTATATAAAGCCTTTTCCGGGTGGTTGGTTTTCAATGAAGGCTTAACAAAAAGCAAGGGAAATAATACGTATAGTTTATCGATACATGCGCAAATTACTGACAGGGTAACCGGGCAAACGTTGCTAAGGACTCAGTAGTTATTGGAAGTCGTGGTTCCTGTCCAGGGGAGAAAGAAATAATTAAAAAGTTTACCGGTATAGTAACAACATAAAAAATGTCGCAGGTTGGGATACCCCGTCCCAATGTGATGGGTTTAGGAACAAATAAGGGTGGTGTTACACTACCACAGATTGCACATCCTTTATCTCGTATGGAAGGCCCCGGTAACTTGGATGTTCGTGGGGTGTCTCGTGATAGCCACAGACCAAATTCACAACCTTTAACAGGAAGACCTTTAGCTAACGAAAATGTTTTTACGGGACGTAAATCTGTAAGTTCTTATGGCCGGGACAGCAGACTTGGTGTCAATCAGCAAGTGGTAGCGATGCCACATGATGCTATTCCTGAAGGAGTGGAAGTTACACATGGAGATCCGAACACTACAAGACTCCCCCTTTTTGGTAAGTTTTTAATTGACAATCTATATAATCATTTTTTCAAAGGTATCAGTACTGTCTCTTAACTATTTATTTTAGGGTATCTATACAATTCGTTTAATGCAAACGATGGTGTCTCATTAGACTGTAAATATTTGAATTAATAATTAAGGAAAGAAATTTTATTTGCTATCGACAATACACAATTCTATGTTATTCAAACAATTTTTTAGATTAAAACTTCTCAAGTGTCAAATTCTTCCTGAACTAAGATATATAGAAAAGATCAAATATTAGACCCCCGTTTACAGTAAACTGCTACACACGAATCGTTTAGAAATATACTGTTTACTTTCCATGTGAGACGACAATTTATGTTTGTTTGATTGAGTTATTCTTTACATTTAATCAATTCAATGGCTATATTCAAAAATCACAAGGGTTTTAAAAGGTTATACCCCTGTCTACTTCTTAAAGTACAGATAAAATAATGAAAAATGACTTCACAACACTTCGTCCCCTATACCAGAAACTTATTTAAGGCAAATCATTCAACTACAGAATTGCTTTGTTATCGAATTGTGATGTAATATCAGCATTTTGATTGCAACTGGACAAGAAAAACGTGATACCATAGTACGTTTGTTCTGTCAAACAGAGATTTTTCAGGCGCGGATCCAGCCATTTTGAAAGGTGGGTCCAACCCCCGGAACACCATGAAACGTTCATATAATAAAAAAAAATCGAAAAAGGGGAGTTCGGCCCACCCTCCCCCGGGTCCGCCAATGTGTTACGACCGAGTATACACGCACAACCAAGTTTTGCTACCTGTTTCACGTGTGACAAATACAGTAAAACTATCAAAACAAATCTATTGTATACTGAACAAAAATAATCAAGACGTCTACATTGGTTTTTAAATGTTCATTTCGTGTTACCAGATAAATACATTAATTACAGCTAATGTCGTTTTTAATACTAGAAAAATGTTTTATTGATGTATAAAAACTATTTTCTTGTCGAAACTGGTTAATTTAAATGTAAGTATTGGATAACAATTGTAAATAATGATATCGACGATTTTCTCTGTTAATTGTATGTTGTAACATAGACTAGAGATGAAAAAATGACAAACTACGTTATCGATGTGAAAACAAAAAAGCCACTTTAAAATATTGTTGTTACATTTTCTATTCTAACCATCAGTTCTCTTTGCTAGTAAAAGTCTTTCTTCATTGGTATTTTTTACAAGCATTTCTTTCGTCAACATAAAAAACCTAGATAACAATTTAAGTGTGTTTCTTCGAATGTTATGCAGTGAATTGATGGGTGTATATACTGCAGACAAAGGTTGAGGTCTTTTGAGTATAGTAAAAAAACCAAACACCATTTTCATATATATACATAAGATAAAAACTGACTCATGGTCGTTTGTTTTTAATTATTATAAAAAGGAGTCTCAAACTATGGGTTTATTTGGCGTTGTCAGTACAAAAAATTAAATAAAACGGTAAAAGATTTCTCTATTTACATATAAAATTATTTTGTTTAAGACTATGTGATTATATTAAAGTTCTCTTCGGGATACTATTAACCATTAAAGAAGGTTCGTTAACAGACTGCAATTGGGTTCATACTTTAGTTTCGGGTAAGGCAGGTTTGAGTAACAACACAGAATTTACATAATTTTACTTTTTAAGGCCCTATTGCCTTGGAAGAACCACGTGGTAAGCATATAGTAAATGGTGAAGGAGGTTTCATTCCTGTTGAAAGGATTATATATTGCATAGATGATTCTAAAGCTTGTTCATTGTAGCATTTCCAAAATTATTTCTCTCGGAATCAATGCATGTTGACCGCATATCTTGATCTGCTTACCTCTACTACTTTCTCGTGCTAGAATTAAACTATTGTAGCAAATAGCTCTAGGATTTTAGATAACGCATGTGGTTAATCACAAGTAAAGAGTTCAGATAATTTCTGCGTTTCTGGCAAATATATACGATCAAGAAAAGAAACCAAACAAGCTATGAAGCAAAGAATTTCCTTATTTTTCAGTGTGGTATTTAGCAATGTATGCAAAAGGTTTTGTAACTATTTGCTTTTTGACCACAGCTTTATTTTCGGCCATAAACTGAACATGATTAACATCTAACAACTTGGGATACATATACATGTACATCTATATATTCTAACGGAACATAGCAAAATGATTAACAAAGTTTATATCATGTTTGATTAATTTTATAGCGAATTGAACATATGGCTCCTTTTGGGTTAAAATGTAATACAGAAAATTGATTAAACTTAACCATTCTCAAGTCAATTCCACACGGCAGTGTGTAGTAGGTTAAGTGCAGGTTTTTTGTTATTGATATTTCATATAAATCTGGCAGTGTTGTGTTAAGGTACTTGTTAATATGTCATTTTGTACAGATTTTGGACAAAGCGTTATGAAACTTTTTCTCCGGTCCGTATGAACTACTTGTACTATTACTCGCTCGCCTGTACGGATTTACGGATTTGTACGAATACTTTAGACGTTATGTCCAACGTCCTGTGTTGAGAAAAGATAATAAATTCACTGCATATAAAGAATCTTGACAACTCTTTCCATGGAATCTGTCTGCTTTGACGGATGTAGAAATATACGTTCACGTTTTGTCTGCTTGGGAATGTGGATTCGAATGCACGATTTGATCGAATGCCAGTCTGGTTTCATATACGTGAAAGAACCCATACTACAACGTTGGCTGTTGTAAAAGAGAGGCGAAAGATACCAGAGGAACATTCAAACTCATCGAAAATAAACTGACAACGCCATGGCTTAAAAAGAAAAAGACCAACAGACAAACAATAGTACACAAAACACAACATAGAAAACTAAAGACTGAGCAACTCGAGCCCACCAAAAACTGGGGGTGATTTCAGGTGCTCCAGAAGGGTAATCAGATCCTGTTCCATATGTGGCACCCGTCGTGTTTCTCATGTTAGTACAAACCCGGTTATAAATCCAATTCGGTAGGAGGGGACGGGATTGTAGTTACGACATTAGGAACATATCCGCTATCATCTGTGAAACGGATATTCCATAACGGTCGTAAAGGGATCGGTTTGTGGCGGAGTGGTTAATACCCAGTCACTTTCGGTTTCCTCTTCCTTAAGCACGTGTTGTAGAATGCCAAACTCTATGTATAGAAGAATCCAAACAATAACTCTTTGTAAGAGAACTGATATGTTAAATGTTGCAAGGCTTTATGGAAAAACTTAATTACGTATGTAGGAGCATACATAACCGTGACGGGACTTTTTTTTTTATTTGTGCATAGTTCAAAATTTAAATTTTTATAACTTGTGTATGTTTTTTTTTACCCAAGATTTTATACTGGAATTAAATATCACACAAGTGGAAGGTCAGATTAATGTTAAACAATTAACTACCACTTTCCTATGACCAAGTCAGAACTTGATGATGATATGACTTAATTTTTCTATATTCGTATACGATCATGTTTTTGTCAGCCTAGTGATTTTGGACTTCCCTTGAGTTGAGTTGAGTTATTCTTTGTTTGCTGACCACTATGGAGACGCATAAAACGGGATGCAAATAAACTCATCATACTGATACCAGGATTAAAATTTTGTACGTCAGACACGCGTTTCACGTGCAACTGCATGAAAACATCAACATGGTTTTGGAAATGTAAAGTGAAAACAATCTTGTAACTTTTGACCAAAATACTCCAGTAGAAAGTTTATTATATCCACCTTATGAACAAACGTATAATATTCTTTCCAAATGCATTACTTTAGTTGGAAAAAGACATCTGTTTTAACCCTTATTAAAAACGTATACGTGACGATTTTGAATCTAAATTCTCATTAGCGAATTGATGCTAACGCTTAATATCTATATAACATCTTCTTATTAAATGAATGCTATCGCTATTTTAGGGAGCAGAGCCGGTATGGGAAGCAGAATGGACAGTCGTATGTCCTCAAGGTTGTCTAACGCTTCAGCTCAAGGTAGACTGGAAATTGATGAGGTGAGTTTAAGGACAGTGGATGGTTATTGAGCATTTTTGTCCCCAAGAATAATCCAAAGTTCATCATCTTTTTAACTGCATCGTATACCACTTTTTATGTGTGTTTTTACATTTAGTTATGTTGGTATTACGTAGTTCATAATTGGAATACATGTAATAATGTAATTAAGATAATGATGGAACAGTAGGACAGTTTGTACTGTTGGTCATAGATGAAAGGATTGATTGATTGATTGATAGATTGATTTTTAATTGCTTAACGTCCAGTGGCATATGTGTCAATCACACTCAGGACAAATTAATAATTAATACAATAGGTAGGAATGCAAGATAGGTTTACTAGGATGGACGACGGGAAATCTGCATTGTCACTGGAAAATAAGAGTATGCTAAATAGGGACAGACATTTTACCCTGCAAAAGGACACCTAGTGACCCCCATCATGATATTCTGAAATATTGCATAGTTTATGACATGGAATGAAACAGTTTTGCCAGGTCTATCTTATACTTAAGAATGAAGAATTTTTTAAAAAGTGTATTCTGAATATAAATTGGTATTCACATGACAATTATCTTAAAAGTTGTATAAATTGTTTAGGATGTATTAAGACCCAACAGTTTTAAGTATTTGACCATACAAGATGTAAGTAAGTAGAAACTGGAATAGATATTTTTATACACAAATGCATGTTTTCTTTATTACAGCAATGCTATGAGGTACTTCTCTTATCTGGTAGATTTTAAGAAAAAACTTTGCATTTGGGGCTTTTAATTTATAGATACTTAAAAATGTAACATCATGATCATGGTGGATACTCATATGGTTGTGGTGATCATGTCACTGTAGAGTAATGCTAGCATTACACTATTTTTATTCTTGCAAATCTATATGTAAATAAATAAAATACGAAAATAAAAAAATCCATTCCTAATGTACTTTTAGCATTTATTTGATTCTTTCAAATGATGATTCAAAAGTAAAAAGAGCTTAAATACAGCCTTCTCTTGCTTTAACTAAATGACTGAATAAAGTTTGAAGGAATTTCCCTTAAATAGTGACATTAGTCTTAGTTATATATTTATTTATTTCAGTTGGAAGCTAGTCTAAAACAGAAAATTAAAGGAAGTTACTTTGAGATCAGGAAAAGATTTAGGGATAATGATCCAGAACAGAAAGGAAATGTTTCCAGGTAATTTGTAATTAATTGACACAGAAAAATACCTGATACCAAGAAAACAAATTGTAATAAATTAAGGAGTTGGCATGCAATTGTCACCTATCAAATGTCTTTTGACAGAATGTGTTCCAAGGGCTTATACACAGTTTCCTGCAACAAGTACAGCCCATATTGTCTACCAGGTTCTAAAAGGTCCACCCTAAATATAACAAAAAATTAACTATTCAAACAAAAGTCACCTTGCATTTTAAAGACATCCAAACCATAATGCTACTGTACTGAGTGAAGGTCATAGCACTTAATGAGTAATCTAAATCCTGGATATCTACAAAGTATAATAATTTTATTTACATGTTAAGAATTTACCTTTATCTGGTTGTTAGATTCTGTTTTCAAAGTTTGTCATATGGAGCCAAAATTAACTTGTACTGCTACTAGGGGGATGTTTAATGACCTTGATTACCCATGACGATTTTTGGTCTGCCCTGGCTTACACCTTTTTGGGCATTTAATATAATTTATTTTTACCTGATTTAACTGAAGTCGCAATGTTACTTTTATACTTGCATCATGGTCTTTTCAATTGATCACATGGTCTGTTATGGTACGGGTGTTTTATAAACTTACATTAAACGAGAGAGGAGTATAGAAAACATTCATTATTAAAAGTAATTATTCAAATTTTTTGAATAGAACAAAATGATGATTAAGCATATTATTTTACAGGGAGGCATTGCATAGAATTCTTGTGACAATTTTAAATGTTTCACTGAGTCAAAATGTGTACAATCGACTGATGGAGAGGATAGGATTAAGAGATAAACAAGTGATTAACTATGCTGAATTCTTTGCCTATTTCCGTGATGGACCAGAGCCTAATGATTATCCAGGTTGGATGGATCCAGTACAGAGGCAATACCAGGATAAAGCAGTCATGTCATCTTTACAAGTTCATTCGAATCTAAAAGAAAAAGCTAAACAGAGGTAAATATAAATTCAGGGATTGACATCAAGAGAAAAGTTACAGGTTGAAGGTGGATGTTTTGGTAGATGAACATTGCAACATGCATGGGCATCCATTCATCTGCACATTTATGAAGGGTATTCTTAGATATGAATTATATATTATTATGCAGGGTCATATATTTTTAAAGCTTGCAAACATTAAAACAAATCTGAGAAAGTTATCATCATTTTCTTGGAAATCTAATTGTTTACAATATCTTTCCTTAATCTTTAAGATATATGTAAAAAATACATCACAGTTATTTTTGTGTGTGTATTTTGCTGTGCATGTACTGATGTTGTGTCATGGATGGATACCAGATATCCTTTGTTTTTCTATTATTATAGACATATGAATCAATGAATTTGTATTAAACCAAGGGAATAACTTGTGTACAATACATTCCTGCAAATCAACCAGTTTATAATGAGTTTTGTGAAATATCAATAAAACAAGAACAAATTTCCAACATTTTTTGTATTTATTTCCTGAAAAATGTTCAGCTAAATAATCTGGAAAACAGTCATCATTATCTTTATATCAGTTTTTGTTTTAATCCCTTTAATTCATCCAAAAATCAAGTATTTAGAAAAAAGTAGGCCTTTCCTGTTAAAAAATTAACATTTTGATTGTATTTTTTTTTTAGATTCTTGGATATAGCAGACTTAATACCCCAGCTGAACCCTGGTGGATCAGGTCGTATCATGAAACCAGAGTTCAAACAAATGCTCAACAAACTTATGTTTTATATGGAAGATTCTGAATTTGAAAAATTGTGGAAAAAGTGAGTATACTTTTCTTTCTTATTTAATATATATATATATACATAATTACTCTAAATATCAGCACAACAATGTTAAATCTGCAAATTTGTGGAAGAAAATTTTATTTTTCCCTCGCCGGGATTCGAACTCATGCTATTGGGATATCGTGACAACACCACCCGCTCTAGACCACTCGGCCACCTAGACTGAACTAAAAATTCAGCTTTCGGTGGCCTAGTGTTACCTTTCCTCGTCAGCAGAATCTAGAGTTGTAACACAGTACATGATATATTAGGCATGAAGATGGAATTGATTGCAGATTAGCTAAATTATCTGTCGTAAAGGATCGTAAGATGCAGTCACAGAAATAATTATATAAGTACGTCTAAACAAGTGACAACTCTACGACAGATCCATTCATTGGATCACCAGTGAAGGTGATACACGGCTGAAAACACATATTATATACATAACTACTCTAAATATCAGCACAACAATGTTAAATATGCAAATTTTCAGAATATATATATATTTATATATGTGTGTGTGTGTGTTGTTTGTTTGTGCACGTAAAAACCTGTCCTATACATTGCTATATGATTAATACGATTTTTGGAACTTCAAAGATGATAAGACCAAGACAATATACATTTTTAACTTTTTCATACTTTTATTTAAATTTTTACATAGTTTTTATGATTATCCCCTCTTAATAGAAAAGTAATTCTTAAAGATAATACAGTGGGATAAATTCACTATTATAACCAAAAAATACAGTTTAGGTTTAACTAGTATTACATGAGGTTATAAGGATTATAGGTAAATGGACATAGTCATAATATGTAAGATTAAAATGTCCTGCCTGTAGATTAGTTTCATACCTTTATATTGACTATCTAGTAGTTAGGTAAACATACTTCTCATGTCAACAGAAAATGGTCATTTAAAAATTTGTCAAATGTAAACACAGAAACCTATTCAATAATATGAAGTATAATCAATTTCTTTTCATAGAAATCACAAAACATTTATTCCATATTAGGCATTTATCTTATAGTAAATAAACAAAGCCAGGACAAGGTTTGATCCATTGTAAAATGATATGTTGAAGTAGTGGTTGACCTGCATGTCATTTAAAAGTATTAATCTTTATAGAAATTAGCCATGGTAATACATACATTCAAATGCATGCATTTAAAATCCCTGGAATAAGCATCTCAATGACCATGCCACACTATTTGTATTTTCATTTCATTAATATCTTATTGAAGGTGTTCATATACTTTCACTTCAGTGTCGTTCATATCTTTTATAAATTTATAAAAAAAAAATAACTATCACTTATTGTGACAGAGAATGGTTTTCATTATAATGCTGTGGTTTTTTTATGTTAGCTCTTTAAGATTAGATATGTGGAACAAGCACAATTTGTCTAAAAGTATAGAATATATTAGTATGAAGCTTAGAATCAGGCATGAATATGAAGCTTGCCATGCATTCTATGCGGTTTCCTGATAACTACAGACAGACAATATATGGTTATTATAATTGATAAAAAAAAATTGGGGAAATATATTGTAAATGAAGAAATGTTGGCAAGGTTTTTATTAATGCTAATAATGCACAAATGAGACAGTATTGCAATAATAAGAAATTATGTTCCTATATCTGATACCTATATGTGTATGAAATTTTTCCTGAAATCGCAATAATTAATCTTGCATTTTTGTTCAATCTTCAAAAATCTCAATGATAAATGCGTGCAATAATTTCTATATTTATGGTAGCTAGAGACATGAAAATTTTGTGAATCTGTAGTGTTATGAATAAAATTCTATTGAAAAATTTTGTAAAGGTCACAGACATAGCTTTTGTATATCACAAAATGTCTATACAGTTGATACTATTTGACTGTGCAGATAGCAAGATTGAAGTATAAATTTAAATTTCATTTGTACCTAAAATGTCTGTTATGGCACCAGAGTATCAGACAATTCATTAGCAAACTGTGCAGATCCTGTTTCCTGAAATTTATTTACTTGTTTGCAGACACAATAAAAATCATTTATATATGATTATTGATATTAAAACAAAAGTCCTGTAAAGATATGTTAAGACTGAGTGAAAAGCATGTATGATCTTTTACCAATAAATTACTTCCTCCTTCTTCAATGGCAAAAATTTTCTTTAAGCTAAATTATGAATAATGAAAACAATCTTTTAATTTTTCAGGTATGATCCTGCTAACTCTGGAACAATTAGTTCTGAAACTTTCTTGAAAGCTCTGGGAATAACACTACAAGAAAATGGAGAAAACGGAAGACTGTCACCTATTGCTGAAAGTAAGTTCTTTGGTCATACCTCATTTATATTCTGTTTGGTTTGTATATATTTGAAAAACTTTCCTGGAACTGATAGTATAAAAAATACATATACAACTTGGTATATGTTTGAAACTTATGTGTATGGACTCCACCAAGTAGTTTAAAATATCTTTAAGAAATCCATTTCAATTAATAATAGTCACATGAAGAATAAAGCTGTTGGATACTCAAAAATTAAAAAAAATATGTATATTTTGAATGGACTTAAGCTGTAGGATACTCAAAAATAAAGAATTATCTTTATTTACCAGTAATATTTATAACAGATGACAAAAGCAATTTTTTCTAATTTTGTAAAGAAAACTGGAAAATTTATCGTTTAAAAAAAAAAACAAGAATGAAAGTGAGTTACTATTAAATTTAGGACGATATCTAAACAAGACATCAAGATTAGGTCAGTCACAAGGTATGGAAATAGGGATGTAACATTTTTGGCTGGATGGAACAATATATATCATTATAAATATTTATTTTTTTTCATGGTGATTTTGGTTTGAAACATCCATTGGTCTTTGTAGGTTTTAGCTTAAGTTCTTGCATGTCTAGTTTAAGTTCTAGAAAGCCTAGCATGATAGAGGGTAAGGCTTATGCACACTTAATAAGATATATACAAATATATATTAAGGAATATTTTTGACTTGTAGAATTACACTTTTCTTATATATTTGTTTAATATTTATTTGAAATCCTAACCCATGACATTTTGTGAAGAATGTTTTTCTGATTAATATTTTTTATGAATCTTAAAAAAAAGGAGAATACAATTTTTGAAACTATTGACATTTCATAGTTCACAGTTATTTTAAATCAATCATGTGATATGTTGGAAATTTTTGGAAAAACTTTCATGTTTTAGTTGATTTAAGTAAATTAAACATGCTGTTTACAAAAGGAATACAAGTCACTGTGCCTTTTTTAAATGATTTTGAATAAATTTAGGATCTCAATATATAGAAAATAAGACTGGTTCAGGTAATCAAAGAGGTAAGGATTTGTTATGCTGAAGCTGTCTGACATAATAGGCTTAAGTTTGAAGTAAAATCTGCTCTTTAACACATTTTGTAATCAGTTTACTGGGTCAGATGAAATTTCATGGGTTAAATATCATCCAATCTACTATTATAACATATTTTTTGGTGTCGTAATTCAGATATTGACAGATTGATATTCGGTTGAATGATTTCTTTTATTTTAGAAATTAACTAGTCAGATTATCAGGATTTAAATTTCTATTTTTTATACATACATTATATCATATTGCTTGGGATCTGAATATGGGCTGGTTTTTAAAAAGACATTTAAATTTAGCTTAAAAATAACGTGACCAAGTAAAGAATGTGGAATTTAGAACATTCTTTTGTTCATTTTAAACAGACTTTTTTCAGTTAAAATATTCACTTGCTGGAAACATGATTTTAATATACTTGTGCTTAAAGTGAATTTTTAAATTAGAACAATGGAAAAAATAGGCTTTATGATATAGTCATGTCCTAATACTGAAATTGTTATATACTGAAATGAAGATATGCTTCAGAATTCTACTGACTGAATTTGCAATTAGTTGGTAAAATGTGTAGGTTTGAAACATGTGAAACAAAGCAACAAAATATGGCATACACAAATTTGTTATACAATATGATTGAAATATTGTTCTCCCAAGGCCAACTCTTCAAGCAAATGTATTGCTGAATTCTTAAAAAATCAACAGGTTCAAATTGATGGGACAGGTTTGCTAAATCAGGCTGATTTCACTGACTATAACATCTCATTACATAGATTAACAGATTTAATTTGCATTAAATTATTAATCAATGAAAGTTGAAAAGACCTGGATTTTTTTTGTGATGCATTATTCATAAGATTTGCTCTTTTATAATTTAAAGATGCAAGTATGCATTTTGTACTATTGCTTATTTATACCACAGCTTTTCAGAATTCTACTGACTAAGCTTGCAGTTAGTTTGTAAAATTTGTACAGTTTGAAACAAAGCACCTACATATGGCATACACAATGTTTTTTATACAATATTATAGCAATATTGCTTTCTCAATGGCACTCTTTATACATCTGTTTGCATTTGAACCATTTTGAAGTAATATGGAAAGTTTGGCAACCATCTTGGACAATAGTTTGGCTTAAATAAGCAAACTTAATCATCAAAAAATAATTTATTGGCATGATAAATTCATATTACTTATCATGTTTATAAGCAGCAAAAAACTTTTGATTTCTAAAAAAAATAAAATGAATTTGATCTATCAGGGGAGATAACTGAGATAATAAAATTTTATAAAGTTTACCTACAAATTGTATATTGTCGCAAAAAGGACAACTTTTAATTGACTCAATTTTTTGTTTTTCTTCAAATTGGAAAATATTTTATTTATCCATTTTCTAATGTTTTATTACAAATATATTGTCTAGTTTTTTTTCTGCCAAAACAAAAGATGGGTCAGATGATTCCACCTGATTAAGTCTATTAATTGTAGACAAAAGTCAATGAATAAATCAGTCAATAATTGTGTATTCTTTTTTTCTGAGAATACTTTATGATATGACCTCTTTTGATTTACTCTAGTATATAATATAAAGAAGATGAATGCTTCAATAACTTATTCAAAATTGTCATATGCACCTTCTATTCAATTGTAATGATACCAAATTGTGTTTTGAACAGTTACATCATCTCGTACACCAAGAAAGAAAGAAATAGAGAGAAAACAGTCCTTAGATGTAGAAAGATGGTTGAAGAACAAATTTAGAGAAGGATGTGTGCAGATGAAAGAAGCATTTGAAGCCAGAGATGCCAAAAATAATGGTCTTGTAAGTATTTTAAGATTTTGATAAGGAACAATGTTGACTTTTATCAGCCACAGAAAGCACCCTCTACTGTTTGGTATTTATTTTTTTGTCACCTTTGTTAAAAAGTGTTTTCAGGATTTGTGTTCATTGACAAAATTTTATATCTATTTAAAATAAACTTTTCAGACACAGGGGAGATAACTCATTATTTAATTTATTTACATCTGGTGGTTAATATAACCATTGATCATTAACTAATGCTTATATTCTCTTTTCTTCTTTAGGTGACATTTGATGGCTTCTTAGAAGTATTATGTAAATATGGTTTAAATTTGGAGAAGAAGTTGTTGTCAGCATTCTTATCAAGATGTAGTGTGAAACCACAACGTGATGGGGTACCTTATAGGGAATTCTTACATAGATTCCAGGATAGATCAGAGGCAGGAATGACCCACAACATACTTAACAGTAAAAAACACAGGCTAGTCAGACTGTAACTATTAATATAATTACCTCTAGAGGTGTTGCACTGTTTGTACTGGGTTATCCATGTAGACTGTGTGCACTCTAGAGCAGATCAGTTACCATGACAACATGTATGGTAACCATGCACAGATCAGTTACCATGACCACATGTTTGGTAACCATGCACTTCTTTGTAGATCGTGTGGTGTCTAGATATTGTAGTTTGTATGGTAGCACTACTGTTGGTGTCTGTGCACTGAAGTGTTGCTAGATTGGGAATGATAACAGCACTTCTTATTAGTATGGTTTCTGTATTAGTGTTTTTGTGCGATTCACTATATTATATGTTCAAAAGAGAAAAAAAAAAATCTTTAAATAAACCTTTTTCTGTCTAAATAATTTTGAAAACAAGATAAATATTACATGATAACTTTACTCAACCTTCTATTTTTTTTAATAAAAAAGATCTAGAACACCTTGTGAAAAAATAAACATATGAAATACATTGATCATTTAAACGTTTTGAAAATAACAAAAATATGGAACTCCCAGGAAATTTCAAAACTGAAAGTCCATAATCAAATGGCAAAATCAAAAGCTCAAAATTCATCAAAAGAATGGATAACAACTGTCATATTCCTGACTTGACATGTAGAAAATGGTGGATTAAACCTGGTTTTATAGCTAGCTAAACCTCCCACTTGAATGACAGTCGCATAAAATTTTAATATGTTTTAAAATCTGTCAAATTATAATTGATGCTAATTGTGGATAACAGATGGGGTTATACATCAATGAGACAGAATCCAAGTGACACAAATAACCAAACAACATCTATTTACATTTAAAAAAAATTGAACGAAAGTTATTTTTATAACCTATATTTAAATGAATGTATATATCTGTAAATAGGGTTGGAGACAGACCTGCCAGTCCTGGTAATGTGTCTACAATGAGTGGTATTGAAGTACAGCTTATGAACATGTTCCAAAGAGATTTCTTATCATTATTGGGTACACTCAAGTAAGTATAGGACTATTTTATAAGAGGTTTTTTTTCACAAATTTTAAAGAAGGGATATCAGTATTTTTAAAACCCAAATAACTTATTTTTTACAAAACATACATTTCAAATATAAAATAAGTAGATTGCCAATTAGACAACTATCCTACAGAGTCCAAATGAAGCAGATTTTAGCAACTTTAGGTCACTTTATGATATCATGCCTTATTTCTACTGGTCATTGTCTGAAAATTTGGTGTGAAGAGTTGACATGTTTGACAGTGCACTATGAAAAGTTCAAAAGTTAATATCCTGAAAAAGCTGTGTTAAGAATAAAGACTTATGCTAATGTGAAACAGCTAAATAAATAGCAGCCAAGATATTGTGATAACCCAAAAATATATTCTACACAAATAAATATATCCACAACTTAGTATTACCTTGTGGAATAATTTAAGTTTCAAATGTCTTCCTTTATTACTTTATTAAATTCTATTTTTCACCAAAAATACAAAAAATTAATAAATAAAAGAATTTAAACCAGTATATTATGATATCTTCAGTAATATTAAAGTCATTGTTGATGCAACAATCACTCAATTTAACAAATTCTGTAAACATGGTTGAAAACTAAAGTAAATTTGTTACTTGATGTACCACTGTTCCTGAGGTGGAAATTGTAGGTATTTTAGTTTTTGTAGGCTTGATAATGTTTTGGAAAAAAATAGTTTTTAAAGACTTTTTGTATGTGATGAACAAAGTAATTCCTCTTTAAGAAATATACAACATAGGTTTAATCCATCTATATTCTGACCTTTTACTTCTACAGGAGCATAGACAACCACAACACTAATGTGATAAGCCAGGAAGAGTTTAGAGCTGCGATAGAGAGCAGATTTAGCCTGACCCTCCGTGATGATCAGTATGAGTCTTTCCTTGATAGGTTACCACTAGATGAGGATGGCAACGTTAAATATGCAGAGTTTCTCCAATTCTTTGATACAAAGTAAGTTGCTTTGAGTATAGATATTAAGGCTTTTTAAAACTATTAGAACACATAATGTTGTCATTAAGCCATTCTAGGTTTTATTTATATTGATACCGGTAAAGGAAAACCTCTGCACACTTTATCAATTCTTAATGTATCAGATAAGATTTTTTTTTCAGTAAGTGACATAATATAAATATTTGTACTACATGCCACTTAGTGGTTAAGAGGATATTATTTTACCTATGTCCATCTATTTTCCTTTTGAAACACGACAGTTTGGAGTATATTTTAATTTTTTCTATATTTTTGCTTTAGGGGAATGGCACCAAGTTTATTTGGTAAGAAACAGGCTGCTGGTCCTGTTCCTGTCCCTGCTCCTCTCCCTAATGTAATGGAAGAGATGATAGTACCACAGGCTGACAGACTAGTCGTGGAGGAAGAACCACTAGACTACACTTCACGCAAGAGGAGTAATGAAGAATTATTCAACCTTGTCAAAGATCTACTGACTCGTAAGTTCCAGGATGTAGAAAGAGCTTTCCAAGATATAGATGAGATAAATACCAAAAGACTCACTCAAGAGTTAATGTTCCAGCTATTAAACAGGTAAAATATTATCATTGACCATATCTACTAAAATATTAAAGGTTGAAATATAGAACTGAATGTTTTTTTTCTAATATTTTAGATAGATATTTTATAACAATATGAATTTACCAAAAAAAATTGTTAATTTGACGGTAAATCCCTTGATTCCTTTTATATATATTCTTAACATCAAAATCTTTGACAAAATACAAGAAAGGCAACCAAATCTGCTGATTTCAGTAAATTATATTTTTGTTGATTGCTGGAAAATTACATTTTATGAGTTAAAAAAAAAATCATCCAAAGTTTAAGATAAAACCATTTTATCAATTAGAAATAAATTCATAAAAGGAATTTTTTGATAAATAAAGTTGGCATACAAAGTATCTTTGTGCATACTGGTAGAAGAAATATTGGTAGAATCTGAATGTAACCTTAAAAAAAAAAGAAATACTTTGATATATTTAAGCATAGAAATGTATTTTTTTATCCATTGTTTCATTGTAGATTTGATATAAAACCAGAGATTTCTCGTGGTGAAATAAGAGAAATATGGAAAACTTTTATCACAAACACAGACAAGACCTTAGATTACTTACAGTTTGTAAGACATTTTGGTTTCTCTGCAAGATCAGCCCACTTTCCAAATGCCAAGGTGAATCCTCCAAGGAAAGGTGATGCCGACTTCATGATCAGATCCAGAAAATTAAACTGTGCAGCAGATATGTTACAAGACAGTTTAAGATCAAAGGTAGGATTATACTAGGATAGCATGGTATTTGTACATTTCTCCAGCAATAGTAGGTCTTTTAAAGGTGTCCTTCTGGTTTAAAAAACCTAAATTGAGTAACAAAATTCATTTAATTAAGGCTATCTTGGATAATTTAATAAACCTATGTACAAAAAGCCCTCATTCTAAGGAGAAAAATCCCAATGCAGGCTTATTTGATTGGCTGCTTTCTAAAACGAAGGTTACTTTACTTTTATTGAGGTTAAAATGCATTACTAGACCACCTCATTAACAAAATGCAAATATTATTAAATTGAAGCTTTTATTATAGATTTGCACAGAATCTTTTTCAGTAAGAATTGTTCCTACTTATTTTCATGATATTGGTTAAACCTCAACATTGATTACTCTTTTTATGATAAAATACAAAATCTAAGGGAGATAATTTAAACATGCTGATAGTTGAATATAACACAACTATGATTAACTCTATTTATTAATTTTTGAAAACTTCTTGCTTTTTCACTTCATCCTTTTCGTTTTTAGATTGACTATATGTGGGAGGAGTTACGTAAAGAGTTTGTTGGGATGGATCCCTATGGTACAGGCTATGTAACGAGGGAGGAGTTTAAGGATGTCCTTACTGAGTTATGTGTTCATCTTAGTGAATTTGAAACCAGGTCACTAAGTGATAAATTTGAACTTCGACAGGATGGCAGGTAAGACAACATTTATATTTTAAATGTGTTGAAATTTTTGCATTTGTTAAAAGTGTATAAAGCCCTTTTTACAAAAAACTATAAGATTAAATACTATTGCAAGTACTAACAAATCAAGTCATAATTTTAATATATAATGTTCCTACTTTTAATTTTTCTAATGATGTAATTTATTTAAGAATTTTATAAGAGTCAAGCAGTCATTTGTATATAAAGGTGATTCAACAAAAAATTTAGCCCTAATTACAAAAAAAAAAGAAATCAAGAAATCAAGATTTATAAGAGTAAAGCCTTCATTTGAATCAACTTTTCAATGTTTGACAGAATTCGTCAAATCTTCATTATATTAAATAATGTAAACACATTTTCATTTTGCTTTCAGAGTATCATATATAGAATTTTTGAAACCGTTTGCTCTGAAAAAACAGATGTGGCGCCATGGCAATAATATGTTGTCCTTGTTACAACATCCACAACCAGAGATACCCATAGCAGACATTGTAGAACCTCCACAGAGAGGATTACATGGAATTACATCAAAACTTAGACAAAAAGTAAGTTACCGGTAATATATAAGTGTTCCCTAAGACTGTAGACAAGACCAGTAAAAACCTATTTGAGGAGCTAGTTCATCATTCATTTATTCATGTGAATTATCAATAATTGATGAAAATGTCAATATTAATGCCATTTAGATAGAAATTGTATTGAAATACAGCTTATTTGAATACAAATGCAAATTTAGAATAATGTGATCTGACACAGTCACATTTTTCACATTACAAAAACATGGCATTAATTTATGAATTTACAGTATAACATAAAGTTAAATAAGTTTTTTTCCTCTTGGTAACTGGTAAACAATTGTGTTGAATGCCCTGTTAACCATGAAGTAAGTGAGATAAATCTCAATATATTGTATTTTAAAAATTTATGGAAAAATTGAGATACCAGGACTAACAAATAGATAACAGTGATTGATCTTTATTAGTCTATTGAATACATGGCAAAAAAGTTTTGATATCAAAACCATTGTCAATTAGAGAAGACAATAGGGTGGGGGTCATAGCTTCAATACCATGCCAGGTCAAAACAAGAAATTTTGAATTGGCATTTTCTGTACCTTCCCCAAGCACAGGACATTTAAAAGAGAAAGAGCAAAGACTGGTCAACACAGACAAGCTGTGTCCTGCCAGTGGTCAATTACCCTTTGAGCCATTAAAAATCTGAGTGCTTCAGACTAGTACAATTCAGTCCTATCACATTAACACAATATCATTCTAAATGTGCATAGTGCATAGATGTTAAGCAACTATCAACCAATCAATCAAATCTAAAATCTTAAGGTGGTACCAAACACCTTGACTAAAATTAATTTGGCTCGTTTAATTTTTATAAAATTTTGACAAAATATTTACTTTGACCCTTTGAGAAAATTATAAAATTTCAAAAAACTTGAATCACACACTTTGTCGGAAAAATTTCATTGGATATATAGAAGTTTGACAAACACTAATTTTGATCATTGAGAAGCTTAATATTTCCTTAACAATAGAACATGATTAAAACTTTCAGCTGATTTTTACAGAGTTATCTCCCTGTAGTGTTATGTACCACCTTAAAACTCTGTAAATTTTTCAAACATTATTTTACATTGAATCTTTATTTATTTTAGCTGGCTGGAGACTGGAAGAATATACGAAGGGCTTTCAAGAAATTAGATAGAGCTAATGATGGGTACCTCAATGTTAATGAATTTAGATCTGTCTTGAAACTTGCTAATGTCATTCTAGATGAGGAGGAAGTATACCATGTATTGACACAGTTTGATAATAACATGTCCGGAAAAATATCTTACGAAAGATTTATTGACGAAGTTCTAAAACCTCCAACTCGACAAAGTGTAAAACAAATTTAATAAGTGTTGCTAAATTTAACATTAACTGATTTTTTAAATTTTTGTAAGTGACTGAACTTGGAATTTGTATTGAAATGTTTGACTTTTGATTGATTGGTGCATAAAAGTAGAATGAGAGAGAGAGTTTATATGGTGTATATTTGAGTAATATATTTCCCAATGAGTATTCTATATAAAAATGAAAATTGTGGTTTAAATAATACTTATGTATGATCTTTAATTTTGTTCTAAATTCAGATGGTCAGTTTTCCATGTTTAGAATGAAATGAAGTTACCGAAAAAAACATAATCTAAAAAAAAAAAGATAAATATAGCTGGTTAAAAAACTTCTCAATGTTTCTAATTTTTTTCATGTTTTTTTAATGTGTGCAAGTAGGGTGATAATGTGTATGTTGTACAAATGTGAGATTCCCTGTACCAACAAATATTTGTAAAGTTCTTCATTTATATATGCAAATGTTCATAACCACCACCTTAGTATAAAAATTCTTTAAAATTGAGGAAATTCAGTAAAAAAAATTTCTTCCCAATCATTACTTTTTGTTCAACTAAGGATTTTGGCATATTATCCATCAATGATACTGCCATCATTTTCACTTGTATGATTGAGATTTTTTTTTATTGTACAAAAATCATGTATTTTTCATATTTTCCATTTTGAAATAGATAAGATATTACATTTTTTTTGCTTTGCTCAAATTTTATTTCATTCAGTCCATCAAATGTATATTGTCTATAACAGTATTATCAGATTTTAAAAAGAATGTTTTTATATTGTGTTATAAACTGTGATATTTTATAGCTGTGATATTTATTGGAATCTTGTCTGTATATCTCTTTTTGTATTAATATTATAAGTGCCTTGGTTACCGTATCTTTGTAGAATAAGTTCTCTCTTTTTCTTTTATATTCTTTGATGGCTATCTATTACTGCAACTATTTTACAAAGGAAAGAGGGAACATTCAAATATGAGATAGTTTTAAAGAATATTCAGTACTGACCTAAACTGTCATTTCATATTCATCAAGTGCATATAAAATTTAACATACATTCCTCCGGCACACGACAATCTATTAAATGTATATTTTTTCTATGCGTCTGTACAATATGTCATATTCTTGTTACAGCATGTGGTTACATAATTATATTTTGTCTTTCTGTTTGTCAGCTATCGACTGATTTTTTTTATGTTTTGACATTAAATTTGTTGTATGTTTATAAATACACTTTCTTATTTTTACTATTTACACTTTAGTGATCATTAGACCAGTACCTAACTATGAATTATTGGTTTTCAATACAAAATGATAATTGCTTGATTTCTAGTGAGACAATCCTCCACCAAAAGATTATAAAAAGTATGATTTTCTATGAAAAATGTTATGAAACTAGTCTGAAGTATGTTACCCCCCCCCTCCTCTAAACACACACACAGAGCACATAAATACAAGAATTTGAAGAATAAATAAATAATTGGGTTTTTAATATTTGTACATAATTACGGTAATTATTCCTTGTCTATAGCCCTTTCCAGTAACTCATTTTTGAAATCATTAATTTTACTCTAAAGTTATAATTTAAAGTAGGATATTTTTCCTTGTAAGGAAGTAATGCCTCGTTCACACGTACATTTAATTCGAATTGAATTCGAATCGAATGCGAATCGAATTCGCTAATCGCGTTCACACACTCTTCTTTTTTAATTCGAATTAATTCGAATTGGCTAAATCGCATTATCCAATTCGCATTAGAAATGCGTTTTTGTTAATACGAATTAAAAGTTAACGTCGTTAGGACAGTAAAGCGAATTTGACGCGCATTACAATTTGAATTAGAATTTACGTTTGGACGTCAAGCGTTTCGAATGCGAATTAAACTAATTTGAATTAGTTAATGCGAATCGAATTCGAATTACGTGTGAACGCAGCATAAGACTGATTCTCAATGAAGAGTCAACGATTATTGGTTTTAATCCCCAAGTTCATTTAAAGATAATATATGGTTGATAGAAATATAAAATTAATAATGGTCTTTTGCCTTTCAACATTCTTTTGATAAAATTGAATATAAAGCTGGAGATATTTGTAAATTAAAGTAACAACATTGTTTTCAATTTGCTTCTTACTATACACCTTATCACTATTCCCGACTGACCCGAGAATCTGTCCCGCTTGAACTATTGACGTCATACAACAATCACTTTTCCATTGTGGCGTCAGATATTTTGTATTATGACGTCAAAATTTTACGGGAACCTGTGTGATGTCCAGTAATGGCGGAGAAATAGCGATATGGTGTATTGCTCTCCATCGCAGCTACCAGTATTTAACCTGTATACTTCCCAAAAAGGCAAATAATTTGTATTCAATTGTAATTTTAAAATTAGATTCAGGTTTTTGGAAGCAAGTTTCTAGAAATTCCTATAAGACATAGATAATGCCACATATTTGATATAAAGTATATGATGATATAGTTAGTATTCATTCACTTATGTGTTGCGTTAGACATTGGAATATATTTACATTTGGTCATCAATAAAGAGAAGTTTGGCAGTGCCACACTCACCATTGACCTTATAATGGACTTTTTTTTTTAAAGTAACTATGTTGAACAACTGAAAATAAAGATGAAGAAAATAAAAATCCCATCTTCATGCACCCCTCTGCTAGATGTACAATGTTCTACAAGGTTCAAATGATCTATCTTTTAAACTTTAAGAGAATTTCAACAGAAAAATAAATATAAATAAGATGTGGTATGAGTACCAATGAGACAACTCTCCATCCAAGTCACAATGTGTAAAAAGTAAACAATTATAGGTTAAAGTACGGCCTTCAACACAAAGCCTTGGCTCACACCAAACAGCAAGCTATAAAGGGCCCCAAAAAAACTAGTGTAAAACAATTCAAACAGGAAAACTAACGGTCTAATCTATAGAAAATGAGAAATGGGAAACACTTATGAACCACATCAACAAACGACAACCACTGAACAACAGGCTCCTACCCTCTGTAACCAGACAGACTGAGGCATAAATCAGTATGCCCCAACCTTTCGTCACAGGTGAAGAAAAACATATAAATCAAATATTAAAAGCTACCTCAAGTGTTTTTATGCCGGGGCATTAAGTTTTACCCTTGTCCGTCTGTACATACGTCCCAAAGTTAGTTTCCATTCTCTAACTTTAGTTTGTTTCAACCAAATGTTATGAAACTTATACACAATGCTTATTACCACTAAATACAGATCAAGTTTGAATTTTGGTGGCATCACTATTACTGTTCTAGAGTTATGCCCCTTTACAAATGGAAAAATTGCTAAATTTTTTGTTTCTGTTCTCTAACTTAAGTTTGCCTCAACCAAATGTTATGAAACTTATACACAATGCTTATTACAACAATAAACAGATAAAGTTTGAATTTTGGTGCCGTCACTTTTACTGTTCTAGAGTTATGCCCTTTACAAATGGAAAAATTGCTAAATTTTTCATTTTTTTTTCTAAATATCAAGTAATTTTTAAAATTGGAGTTATCTTCCTTTGTACATGTTTATAGTTGAATCAACTACAATCAATGCTTTATACAATGCAATGTTTAATTTTGCTTTCCACTGATAAATTAAAGCAATTTTTACCCTTCATTCCTAAAAAATACTTCAAAGTCTTCTTTGAAAATTGGAGTTATCTTTCTTCGTGCATAATGGTAGTTAAATCAACTACAACCAATGCTTTATACAATGCAATATTCAATTTTACTTCCTACTGATAAATTAAAGCAATCTTTACCATTCAGTGCTTACAAGCTGTTTGATTACCGTTCTAGGGTTATGCCCCTTTACAAATGAAAAAATTGCTGAATTTTTCGTTTTCATTCTCTAACTTTAGTTTGCCTCAACCAAATGTTATGAAACTTATACACAATGCTTATTACTGCATTATACAGATTTAGTACGAAATTTGGTGGCTTCACTTTTACCATTCTTGAGATATGTCCCTTTATAAACATAGAAATTGCTGAATTTTTTGTTTCCGTTCTCTTACTTTAGTTTGTCTTAACCAAATGTTATAAAACATATACACAACTGTTCTAGAGTTATGCGTGTTTATAAATAGAAAAATTGCTGAATTTTTAGTTTCTGTTCTCTACTTAAGTTAACCTCAACCAAATGTTATGAGACTTACACACAATGCTTATTACCACAAAACTCAGATCAATTTCAAATTTGGGTAGCGTCACTTTTACCATTCTTCAGTTATGTCCCTTTATAACCATATGATATGCAAGCAGGGGCATCATCTGTGTCAACATGTGGACACAATCCACATTTATTTTTAACTTAACCCTCTCAAACAAAATTACATGTAGTAGAATGTCTATACCAGATATAACACAATAATGCATATGCTGAAATGTCTCATCTGTTTGAACATGATTGAATTAATGTTGAAATTTTTATGCCCCCGCCGTAGTGGAGGGGGCATTAAGTTTTACCCTTGTCCGTCTGTACGTACGTACGTCCGTCCGTACGTCCCGAAAATTGGTTTCCGTTCTCTAACTTGAGTTTGCCTCAACCAAATGTTATGAAACTTATACACAATGCTTATTACCACAAAACACAGATCAAGTTTGAATTTTGGTGGTGTCACTTTAACCGATCTAGAGTTATGCCCCTTTATAAAAGGAAATATTGCAAAATATTTAGTTTCCGTTCTCTAACTTAATTTTGCCTCAACCAAATGTTATGAAACTTATACACAATGCTTATTACCACAAAACACAGATCAAGTTTGAATTTTGGTGGTGTCACTTTAACCGATCTAGAGTTATGCCCCTTTATAAAAGTAAAAATTGCAAAATTTTTATTTTCTTCTAAATATCAAGTTTATATAATATATTTTTAAAATTGGAATTATCTTCCTTTGACCATGATTATAGTTGAATCAACAACAATCAATGCTTTATACAATGCAATGTTTAATTTAGACTTCCACTGATAAAACACAGATCAAGTTGAATTTGGGTAGTGTCACTTTAACCATTATTGAGTTATGCCCCTTTATAAATAGAAAGATTGCAAAATTTTTTAGTTTCCATTCTGTAACTGAAGTTTTCCCCAGCCAAACATTATGAAACCTATACACAATATTCATTACCACAAAACTCAGTAAGGATCAAGTACAATTTTTTTGTTTCAGTTCTCTAACTTGAGTTTGCCTTAACCAAATGTTATGAAACTTATACACAATGCTTATTACTACATAATACAGATTAAGTACGAAATTAGGTGGCAACACTTTTACCATTCTAGAGTTATGTCCCTTTATAAACATAAAAATTGCTGATTTTTTTTAGTTTGTCTCAACCAAATGTTGTAAAACTTATACACAATGCTTATTACCACAAAACTCAGATCAAGTTCAAATTTGGGTAGCGTCACTTTTACCGTTCTTCAGTTATGTCCCTTTATAACTATATGATATGCAAGCGGGGGCATCATCTGTGTCCACATGTGGACACTATCCACATTTATTTGATATAAAAGTTTTACTATAAGTTTCACATTAACTTAACATTATCAATGATCCATGTAAATGAAGTCACGGTCAGATAAACCCTTCCAGACATACATCACAGTATACCTTACAATTATTCCACACACACCAAATGTAGTTAACATATTGCTGCTAGTATCTGTGAAACCAACATAATCACGAAAACTTTATGTTAACCAATGAACATGATAATGAGGTCAAGGTCAGTTGAACCCTTTCAGATGGACATGTACACCTTACAATCATTCTATACACCAAATATATTTGACTTATTGCTTATAGTTTCTGAGAAACAAACTTTACGTTGACAATAAACCATGAATATGAGGTTAAGATCAATTAAACCTTTTAAGATGGACATGTACCCCTTACAATCATTCCATACACCAAATATAGTTGAAATATTGCTTATCATATCTGAGAAACCGACCTAAACATGAAAAATAAACATTGACCTTAATGAATCATGAAAATGAGGTCAAGGTTATATGCACCATGCCTGACAGACATGAACAGATTGTAGTCATTCCATATACTAAGTAAGGTTGACCTATTGCTTATAGTATCTGAGAAACAGACTACAATGAAAACTTAACATTAACTTATGAATCATGATAATGAGGTAAAGGTCAGACGGACATACCTTACAGTCATTCCATACATTAAATTTAGTAAACCTTTTGCCTATACTGTGGATTCATTATTTTTCGTTGGATACCAGGAAATTAAATATCCACAAAAGTGTAAGTTTTCTTCAATCCAAGAAAATTGGTACCCACGAAAATAATTGAATCCACAGTAGTATATGAGATAAACATAACATTGATCACAAATGAGGTCAACGTTGGATAAACCCTGTCTGACAGACATGCAGACATTGCAAGGATCTAATATACCAAATTTAGAGATCCTATTACAAATTCGAGTAAAAACAATATTTTTTTCAAAACAGTCACTCAACCATGAAAATGAGGTCAAGGGCAATGAACATACAAACTTCAGAACACAATTTTTGTATACAAGCTTTAAAGTATCCAGGTCTTCTACCTCCTTCTGAAATATAAAGCTTTATTCAAATAGTTGCGGCAGCTGGATTAGCAAATGAGATATACTTTGCAAGTAAAAACTGTTCATGGTAATTTTTCATATGGTCTATACTATTCACCCAATAATATTTCTGAAAAAAAAACCAAACATGTAACAAAATGTATCTTTCCTTTGCTATCAATGAGCATTCAAAATGCAACGAAACCCCTTTGGTTTCCTGCACCAAGCCTATACCTGCTTGTTTAGGGATTCATCCAATAATACTGATGAAATACATCACATTCCATACAATTAATAAACCCAATGGTGATGATTATGGTAGACTGGTACCCAGCCGTTATTTGACAAGTTTGACAATAATATTTGTATATTCCGAAGGCATACTGAATATTTTACGGAGGGAACCAACCTATGATTTTGGTTACTCAAAAGTTGGCCAACCAAACCATAGCCCTGGATGACTTACTACTCATCATACAGTTATACAATGAATATCATTTGACCTTGGTATCTACAAGGACGTTTGACAACACTTGTACAGATGAGAAAGACGAAGACATTGCTGATATAAACCTATGATATAAGTTTCATAAGAGTATCTGTACAAAATGTCAAGTGCTAATGAGTAAACATGAAGCGTCAAAAGTTTAAAGATCTGCCATTTTTTATGTGACTACATGAAATGTTAAAAATATTTATTTCATATATTGCAATATTTG